TAGTTACTATGTACCTAGTCTTCTCTAGACAGTGGATAAGGGTTCAGTTGTAATATTAGAAAGTAAGGGAAAAGAAAAAAAGTAGAAAACAGCAATAGGAAGAAAAATGAATAAGAAAAAGAAAGAAAAATGTGAGTAATAAGTAAAGAAATTGAAAGAAAAAGAAGGAAATCCCTAGAAAAAAAGGAGAAAAAATACATCCCAGAAAATAAAAAAGAGTTAAAAACTGAAAACCACTTGCATGCCACATGGAGATGCAGAGCTGCAGAGATAGACCTGCCTGATGGATCCAGATCTGGGTGAGAGGAAGAGAAAAAAATTAATAAGTTAAAAGCACAAGAAAAGGGACAGAAAAGCTGCTTTTTTCTCAAATAAGAGGGAAAAAAATTTGGAGGGACAGAAAAGGGCATGAGGGAAATGCAGTTATTTTCCTACCTAGCTAGTCCAGGGTTCTCTGTTTGTGTGTGTGTGTGGGGGGGAGGAGTCCTGGCCTAGCTGAGGGAGCTTCACCACTGTGAAGCTGGATCCAGAAGGTGCAGATATGGACCTGCCTGATGGATTTTGACCTGGGTGACTTGAAATTGTTTTTCACTCAACATTTTGAATATATGTTCCCATTCTTTCCTTGCTTGCATTGTTTCCAATGAGAGGTCCCCTGTCAGCCTGATGGGATATCCTTTGTAGGTAACTTGACATTTCTCTCTTGCCAGTCTATGTATCTTGTCTTTGTCTGTGGTTTTGGTCAATCTGGCTATAATGTGTCTTGGAGAAGATATTCTTGGGTTGATTCTATTGGGGGTCTCTGTATGATCTCATCTGTTTTTAGTACTTTCAAGGAGATTTTGATTTCCTGTATTGCAGCCTTCATCTCTAGCAGTTCTGTTGGATTATTTTTATGATGTGTATTTCCTCTTTCAGATTATGCAAGACTTTCTGACCTCCTGTGACTCATTATCTCTTTTCTCTTGCATCTTCTGGTGTTCGTCGATTCTCTTCTCTTGCATCTCTGTTAGCTTTGGAAGTATGAATATTCCAAATTCTTTCTCTGTTATCTCCACAAGTTCCATTGTACTGTCTATAGATGGTGAAGGTCTGTTCTTTCCCCTTGGGGGAGATATTTTATTGGTTTCCCATATTCCTTGTGTGTCTGCAGTGGTTTCAGGTCATCTGAATATTTGTTAGTCCCTACTTTCTTGGAGTTAATTCTGAGTGTTAGAGGAGAGCAGGAGAAAATGACTTGCAATATTTCTGCAGCGCTGTTTCCCTGACCCTCACCAAGAAACCTGCACTTTTGGGGATGGAACAGGATGTTACAAAGGCCTTATAATTTCAGGGGGATATGTGCACCAGGACTGAGCAAGTAAGAGGCGTGTGGGAGAAGAGGAGCCGCACTCCCTGCAGCTCCGTGTTCCTCCCTGCTGCTCCCTTTGCAGTCACTCTTCTCTGATTTTTAGTCATTAGGTGGTAGGACTGAGCTGTGGGGTTTCAAGTAAAAGGCGTGTGGGAGAAGAGGAGCCGCACTCCCTGCAGCTCCGTGTTCCTCCCTGCTGCTCCCTTTGCAGTCACTCTTCTCTGATTTTTAGTCATTAGGTGGTAAATTCACATTTGGCTACTTTGGAGATTTCTGCTACTGTAAACTAGTATGGTTCACTCTACTGTGAGGTACGTCTATGCCTTATCTCCTCTACTACTGTGTTTTGCAATGTGGTATCCAGAGAAAGAGATTTGAATCAGATTTATGAAGATGAGTTTCTCCCTTTCTGTAGCAGTTCAGTGGGGGTTCAGGTTTTCTATGACCCTACAAGTATTTAGATGTTTTGGTACTGTGTACCAAGACCTGTCTTGACACAATGTGCAAAAGCTGAGAAGCAAGGTAAGAATAAGAAGCAAGAATAAGAAAATAAGCAAGAATAAGAAAAAAAGTGGAAAACATACAAAACAAAAGGCAAAAAAAATGAAAAGGGGAAAAAAATTTAAAGGCAAAAACAATATATATGATAACAATGCAGTGAAGAGAAAGGAAAAGGGGGAGAGAGAGAAATACAGAGACAGAGACAGAAATAAGACAGAAAACACCCTAACTCAGTTCACTGGGTGTTGGCCTAGAAGGAGTACTTTGGGGTAGACACTTTTCAGTTAAAAAGGCAAGACCCACTTCTGACGCACATGGATTCATGGTTTTCTAGGTTCCCATACGTGTGTTTCAAGCCATTTGGACTAGGACTCTAATCAAATAGCTGGCCACGTTCAATATAGCTGCCTTAATCACCATGCCACTGGCTGGCCCCTTTTTAATTATTTTTTTAACAATTCACTACAGGGTGTATACACTCACTGGAAAGAGCCAGACAGAAGAGAAAGGATGAAGGAGAAAGAGAGAGAAAATAAGAAAGCACCTCCTAGGGGGTTGACCATGCTGCCATCCCTTCTCCATTCTCCTCTCTGAATTTTGGATAGGAATGCACATGTGACCAGCATGTTCCTCAAGTCACCAGATCCAGGACTCAAACTATGCAGACAGCCATGTGAGATCCCATCATCTTAACCACCAAGACACAGGCTGGCCCTGCACTATTTATTGACCCATCATAAATGGGATTATATCGCAGTTTGAAGTTCCTGAAAGTAGTCACCCTTCAGATTCACCTTGTCTCTTCTGACCCTCAGAATCACAAAGCCAAATGCCTCAAGCTGACAGGATTCAGCAGCTGAGTTTTCACAGAACGTGGTCTGTTTATAGTGACAGATCTCACACCCCCACCTGCCGTACAAGTCACATTTCAACAATGCCCTTCCCAGAAGTGGGCTCCCAGGGTGATCTCCTTCATTCTACCATTTGCTTCATGCCAAGTGGGTCGGTTTATCTCATATGCTTGTGAAACTTTAAAAAAAAAATCAGTCTAGAAAACAGTAGAGAGGGCTGAGGACCTAATTCTCTTACTCGTTCCAAGAGCCCCAAAGTCTGATCACAGGATGAAGCAGATAAAATGGACAAAGAACATATTGATTTCTTTCTTCTGTCATAAACAGAGTGCAGAGAAATGCAAATTAGAGAATAGAAACAAAGAGAAAGAATCAGGAGGCAGGAAAATCTAGAATATATTTATGTTCATGTTTCCCAGTTCCCAGGCTGGATTAAAAACACACACATAGACATAAATCAGAGATATACTTATATTCTCAATTGTAAACTGACTTCCAACAACATGTCACCAACATGAAACTTACCATTCTATTTTTTCTTCTGGAATTGGCTTCATCAGAAAAGATACCCGGACTATCTGTTCTTCCAGAGCCCAAGTGTAAAGGGGGAAAAACCCACCCAGGACCAGGTCCCCCTCTCGGTAGACAGTTGGCCTATGCAGTTCATAACAGCTCTCAAATGTCACCTCACATGCAGTGTGGAAAGTCTGCAGGATTAACAGGAGACAGATTTGACAGACTGACATGTCACTGTCTGCCTAAAACAGAGATTAAACCATATGTGTAGGCTGAGCTGAAGAAAAAGTGGATGTGGATTATATTTACATGCTCAGCTCCTTCCAGGAAGAATCTCTCGCTGTGTAGGGCACAGCAGATCCCCACTCTCACTGTAGGCACTCAACCTATAGAATGTGTATATGACAGACTGGCGTGCCAGACAAGGGCACAGGTGGGAGCCAAAGGATGGCATTTACAAGGGACCTCACAGTGCTTAGACCTTTCTCTTAGTGCCACTGTGATGAGAGGAGCTCTGGCTTTCCTGTCTTTTCACTGCTTCATTTCAGTCCCATCCAGGAGCTCTGGGGAATCCCCCTACCCTGGAGCGTTGCACCTGTCACCCCCATGTTGATAACACGATCTGGAGAAACATGTTTTAGACTTTCCTTCTCAGTTGTGTCCTCTGATTTCATCATGGTCCAGAAAGTCTTTGGGGATCACCCCATTCTCAGACAGCAGTCTCTGTACTCTTGTGCCCACTAGAGGCTGAGGGTGTTTGTATCGAACTTCTAAGAGGGATATGGAGAAGATAGAGGTAGGTGATATCAAAATCAACAAAAACCACACGCGTATTATTTTAAAAACCTCTGTAAACTCTGTGCAAGAAACAAAGATTTAAATTATCAATCTCTTATCTGAGGCAAAATTTACAAATATATTCGCACATTCTGTGTGTTGTCAATTCCATCTAACTATTGTTTCTTTTGCTGTGTAGAAGGTTTTTAACCTGATATAATCCAATCAGTATATTTTTGAAATTAGTGCCTGTCCTTTGGGGGCCTTTTTAAAGAAGTCTTTATGTATTCTGATGTCTCCCAGAGTTTTACTGATTACGATTTAGTGTAACTGAAGATGTCAAAACTCTTTTTAAAAAAGGGGGGGGAGGGAGAAAAAGAAATAGTAGAGATAGAAGTGAGACCATCTGGAGATACATGTTGTCTACTTCCTTCTCATTGGGCTCTATGAGTCGATCATGGTTCTATATTAAGTTTCATTACAATGGGATAAAAATGAGGGTTGCCATTGATCATCCCTGTGCAACCTAAAGAAGGCACTTTACTACTATGTCAACTATCGCTTCAGGGCCTGCAGTGTCCTTCTAGAACAAATGGTCTTCATCATTTACAAAAGAGTATAACTCATTATAGAGAAGATTAGATTATCGCACATCCGAACACTTCACTGATTTAAACCATTCATCTTCTCCACCTATTTGATCATCTGCGATCTGGGCCTTGATACTTCTGGCACCAGGTCCTCATAATTACATGACTTGATGTGTGATTACTAAAGACAAGTGTATTCTTGACCCAGTATTTCCTTCCTCTTTTCATATCATTTTTTTCTACCAGCATTCCTTTGAAATGACTTGACAAAATTTTCTACTTTATTTATCTATGTGTAATTTTATAATATAATAGATCTAAAACGTGAAATCAGTTTTCATTACATCATCATATTAGTATGCAAAATCAGGGTGTTTTTATTAAAACCTTAAAATATACAATGGAGTTATGAGATCAAGCCTCATTTCCTCTAGAAAATTTTCTGCTCTTTATATCTTTTGATGAGTTCTTATCAGGTCTTATCAGAATAGTGTAGCACTTGGGGACAAAGATGCAGCCCAGGAGCCCTGCACTGGAGACCAAGATGGAGAACACCTCCACGGCCACCATGACCTTCCCCTTGGTGCTGTGGTAGACGGGCAGGAAGGTGACCCAGACACTGCAGAACAGCAGCATGCTGAATGTGAGGAACCTGGCCTCATTGAACGTGTCAGGCAGGTTCCTGGCCAGGAAGGCCACCGTGAAGCTCCCCAGGGCCAAGGAGCCCAGGTAGCCCAGGACACAGTAGAAGGCAGTGACTGAGCCCTTGTTGCACACGATGATGAGGCTTCTGGGCTCAGAGTGTGAGTCTGTGTCAACGAAAGGGGGAGAGGATCCCAGCCAGATTGCACAGATAATCACTTGGATCAGGGAGCAGATGGGAATGACAGAGTTAGAGGCCCCTGACAGCAACAAACATCTCAGTGTTCTTCCAGGTGTCATGGCCTTAAATGCTAGAATCACAGTCATGGTTTTGGCCAAAATGGTGGAAACAGCCACAGTGAACACCAGCCCAAATGTGACCTGTCTGAGGACACAGGTGGCTGTGTTGGGACGGCCAATGAAGAGCAAGGAGCAGAGGAAGCACAGCAGGAGGGAGATGAGCAGGGTGAAGCTGAGAGCCCGGTTATTGGCCTTGACGATGGGAGTGTCTCGGTGCTTCACAAACAAGCCCAAAACCACAGCTGTGACCGCAGAGAAGCAGAGGGCTGTGCAGGCCAGAGCCATTCCCAGAGAATCTCCAAAGCCCAAGAAAATGACAGGCTTAGGGAGGCAATGAGTTCTCTCATTATTTGTGAACTGTTCAGGTGGGCACAGGAAACACTGCTTTGCATCTGGGGAAGAAGCAGAGATTCAGCATTTAAGTTTCACAAACCATTCATGTTCGCCATGTTGATGAGGATAATCACCTTCACTGTCACTGTGAGTACAGGCTGCATTTGACTGTACCAATGAGGCACAGTAGATTATGATTCTGCAATATGTTTTGTTTTTTTTTTTTTTAAGAGAGAAAATTTTTGTGATAGGGCACGGACACTCTTAGGAAAGACAGAAAGTGAGAAATCAACCAACCCTGGGGTATGGCCCTGCAACAATTCCTTCTCCTCCATTCTTCTCTTGAGATTTTAGGCATGCACACACACATACTGGTTGTGAGTTTCACACCACAGAATCCAGGACTTGAACTCTGGTCAACCACATGAAAGTCCACTGCCTTAAACACTATACTACCAGAATGCTCCAAGATACCACTGTTCTGACACAGGACATTTGGCTCCACTTGTTTTATCAATATTATTCTTAGATAATACTAGTGCAACATTAAACGATTTTAGAAGAAAGATTAATTCTCTCTCACATTTCTCTCTTTTGAGATGCCCATTTATTTGCACAGATTCAACATAACTTCTGACTTCTGTCTCAGAAACACATCTGGCACACAAAAGCATGTGTATGTTGCATCCAGAATTCTGTGTTCCTGTCTAGTTTTCTTATCTTATACATATGTTTAGTGTTGCAAATTTTTAATGAGAAAGAGAAATCTTTATTTTTCTTTTAAAGTCTTCCATCCTCTTTTTATTTTGGCCATAGGGTTTGTGTGCGTTGGTGAGTCAGACACACAGACACCATGGGAAAGTGAGAAATCACCCCCAAAGGTAGATGGCCAAGCCATAATTCCTGCTTTTCATTCTCTTCATAAGATTTGAGGCACACACACATAGGGCACACTACACAAACACATGTACCTGAATCCGCACCAGTGTTATTTTTAAGCTGCTGAGTCCAAGAACGGAATTACAGTTGTTCACGTGGGAGTCCAGCCCTTTAGCCCCCATGCCACCTACTGGCCCAAAGACGTGTTTGCATTCACTCTTGGCATATTTTATAATATCTGTTTAGTTTGCCTAGGGATTAATATCAAATGATAGCAGTAATTGCATAGTACTTATGGGAGAACTTGGATCACTGTAACATTTATTCTTTATAGCATGAAAATTGAAGCATGTTTAATGAATTTTTGTACACTCTGTATTTTAATTTATCACATTTTTTAATATATAATTTGTTGAATAATCCCTTGTTAACCATTATTTGTGAAGTGCTAGACTGTGGGATTCATTAGAATATTCAGTTCTCATTCTTTAAAATATATTTCCTCACTTTCTCTCTCTGTTCAAAGTAAAATAATAATTATAAATAAACTTAATCACACGACACCTTAAATAAAAGAACATGATTGAAAAAGAAAGTATTTCCATAATATTTATTTCTGATTGTTCTGTGGTTACTACATATAAAAAAATCAGTTTTACTTTCAAGGCAACCACAGATAGCTCAGAGATTATACAGTTTCCATTCCTTTTTTTTTTTTTTTTAATATGGTAGGGGGCGTGGGCCTCACCGCTCACCAGAGACAGAGAGAGAAAGAGAGAAGAAAAGTATGAAAGCAGCATGGGGGAATGTCACACTGCAATCCCTCCTCTGTTTCTCCTTTTAGGGTTTTGGGCATGCACTCTTGTGTAGTTGGCATGGTTTTTAAGCCACTAGGTTCAGGATGTGAACCACCTAGTTGGTCATGTGGGATCCAGCTGCTTTAACCACCTAGCCACCACCTAGTCACCACATTGCCAACAATTGCCATTTCAAAGATAGACTTTGGCACAGTCACCATCGGACCTCAAGTGAGACTGCCTCAGCCAGTACTGGATGTAGGTGAAGGCATCCTTTGGAATCATGGGCCACAGCTGAGCCTAATCAGACACGCACAGCCAGTCAAAGATTTAACTCATTACATGGTTATCAGCATCATAACATGGACATATTGCAAACATGAGTGAACACGTGGATTGAGAACACCAGCCCCAGTGTCCTTTTTTCCCTTCTGTTGAGAGACAGTGAGTGATGTTATCATAGGGGACTTGTGTATGTTCCACCTGTCCAGTTGGAAATCTCTCTCTCAGGGCAAGAAACACAAAGGAAGCAGCAGGTGGGTCTTTCCTCTTGGGAAATTTTCCTGAATCCAGGAGCGCAGCTCTGGGTACACACGGATGGAGGAGTCTGAGGGAAACACAGAATCATGCTTGGTACGTGAGTCAGCAGCAGTTTTGACAAGACAGCTCTGTTTCTCCCTTCGTAAGCAATAATGTAGACCTTTAGCATGAGTCCATCCCTATGTCCCCCCGCCCCCAGGCTGCACCATCTCAGTATTACTGAGACGTGTAACAATGGGTTGCTATGGTAGCTGTCTTCTTTATTTCTAAATTATTTACATGTATTATTGAAGTACCTGATGAATTGACTTTACACAAACTGGCAACAACCGCTGGGTTGACTTAACCTCTATGGCATTTTCTAGCCACAGGCCTTAAATTGTTGAAGTTTATTTATGTACATCGTATATTAGGGGAAGATAGAGAGGCAGACATTCCCAACCACTTTGCAGTTATCTACCCGCAGTGCCCAATCACATGCATGTGTATATGTGCCCGGTGCGAACAGTGAGGCTTCAACATGTAAACCAGCACCTACCCACATGGTTACAACATGCCATTCCTGCTTTTTTTCCTGCTGCCCCACTAGGCTCTCACACCACCATAAAAATTCGATATAGAAATCAGACCATACTTCTTGGAATACATCAGGCCATTTCAGCATCTCATTTTTGATGACCAAATCTTGATCGTGTGGACTCTTAGAGACAAACTCTCCCACTTTAACTAGCTTCCAACTGTCATTAGGAAACTTCACCAGGTTCTGGATATCATACTGGGCCATATAATGTTCATTGTCACCAAAAGACACATTGTCCCCAGCGCTGTTTGTAAATACAGTTTTCCTCAGAAATGAGTGGAGCTGGAGGAGAGGCATAATTTGGAAACAGGAAGTACATTTAATGTAGAGGTGGGATTTCCACATTCATCAAGTAATCTTATTTTCATTTTTTAAAAATATTTCATTTAATTTATAATTATTCTTTGGTTTCTTGGGTTGGGTTTTGTTTACTATTTTTTGTTTTGGTTTGGTTTGGTTTTTGTTTTTTATTTATTTTATTTTTGCTTTAGGGCCTGCGTGCCTAGGAGAGAGAGAGTGAGAAAAAAAAAAAAAGAAGAAGAAGAAGAAAACGAAGCTCCAGGTCTGGGGCTCAAACTGCAGTCCTCTCTATAGGAATTTGGCACTCTAATCACCATGCCACCTGCTATTCTCTTAAGTGTCCCTATTTTAACCTCCCTATCTCATAGATTCTTGTGAGATAAACTCTACCTTTCTCCATGAAAACAATGGGAAAGTAATGGCATTCTATCAAAGTCCAGGATGTTTCCAGAAGGTAGCTTAGGCATGGGTTCTGTTACAATCCTGATTAACAATGTTTGGTAGGGACCAGCTGTTAGCATAATGGCTATGTCACTGGACTCCCGCATAGTCAACCACGGTTCGAGTCCTAGACCTGTTGGCTTAAACTCACGTCAGACACGTGTATGTGCGTGCCCAAGATCCTGAAAGGAGAATGGAGGAAAAGGGATTGCATCATGGCCATCCTCCCTGGAGGATGATTTCTCTCAAGAGGAGAATGAAGAAGGGATTGCGGTGTTGCCATCCCCCCAGGGGGTAATTTCTCGCTTTCTATCTCTCTGTCTCTCTCTGTCTTTCTGGCAAGCACATGCACCCAATAGAAAAAACCTCTCCAAAAAAAAAAAAAATGGTAGGGCTTCTTGGAAACTAATCTTGTTACTTTAAAAGGAAACAAACAGGGCCAGCAGACAGTGCAGAGGTTAAGTTGACTGTATCTCACATGCCTGTCTGAGAGGTTCAACTCCTGGATCTGGCAGCTTGGAAAACATTCCGTGTGCATGTGGATCCATGCCCAAAATCTCAAGAGGAGAAAGCAGGAGAAGGGACTGTGGCATGTCCATCCTCCTTGGTCCTGATTTCTCACTTTCCTTCTCTCTCTGTGTGTCTCTCTTCAGCGAGTGCAAATGCATTACAACAAAAACAATGGACAACCAAGAAAAAGGAACAAGATGAATAAATACATTAAATTCCCTGAGAATGGGGACCAGCAGATGGAGAAATGGTTACATCGCTGAACTCCCACCGAGTTGGAGTTTAAGTCTCAGAACAGGTGCCTTGAAACTCATAGAGGACACATGTGCATGCATGCCTAAAATCCCAAGAGAAGGGTTTACGGTGTGGTTATCCCCCTGGAGGGGGATTTCTCGCTTTCTGTCTCTCTGTATCTCTTGATGTCTGGTGAGCGCATATTCCCTATAACAAAAAACTCGCTCAAAAAAAAATAAAATTCCTTGAGACTGAGGATTGTGTGGAAATGTATGCATACATCCAAACTCATCAAAATGTATACATTAAAGGGGACCAGCAGGTGGCATGGTGGTTGCGGCACTGGACACTCCCACATGGCCAACTATGGTTCAAGTCCTGGACTTGATGGCTTGCTTTCTCACTTTCCCTTTCTCATTCTCTGTGTGTCTCTCTGGTCAAATTAAAATAACTGAATGAATAAATAAAAAACATTAAATAGCTGTGATTTTGACAACATCAATGACACTCCACTAAAACTTTTAAGAGAAGATATAAAATGTGTTTCTTCCTCTTTTTTTTTATCATTCTTCTTACTACTGGTGACACTGTGATTGTCATGTGTGAAATCTACCACAAAAAGTAAAAATTTAGGGAACCAGCAGTTAGCGTAATGGCTACGTCACTGGACTCCCACGTAGACGACCACGGTTCGCGTCCCGGACCCGGTGGCTTAAAACTCACGCCGGGCATGTGTGCGTGCGTGCCCAAGATCCCGGGAGGAGAATGGAGGAGAAGAGATTGTGGCGTGACCATCCCCCCTGGGGGGTGATTCCTCGCTTTCTGTCTCTATGTCTCTCTCTGTCTGTCTGGCGAGCGCACGTGCCCCATAGTGAAAAAAAAAACCTCTCAAAAAAAAAAAGTAAAAATTTAGAGCTCTTGTATTAATATGAGGTTTTAAAAAAAATGTTTCTTAGAGGGCATGTGTACTCACTGTCAAGAGACAGAGAGAGTGACAAAAAGTGAGAAAACACGGCCCGGGGTAGATGGTCAGACAGCAATCCTTTCTCCGTCTTTGCCCTTGGGATTTGGGACCCTCATGCACATGTACCTGGTGTGCTTTTAAAGCTGCCTGATCTGTGGGACCAGCAGTTAGCGTAATGGCTATGCCGCTGGACTCCCATGAAGTCGACCGTGGTTCGAGTCCCGGACCTGGTGGCTTAAACTCATGCTGGGCGCGTGTGCATGTGTGCCCAAGATCCTGAGAGGAGAATGGAGGAGAAGGGATTGTGGTGTGGCCATCCGTACCCTATAGCTTAAAAAAAATGCTGCCTGATCTGTGACTCAGACTACACAGTCAGCCATGAAGGATCCAGCTGCCTCAACCACCATACCACCTGCTGGCTCCAGAAGAGGTCTATAACAAAGTGCATTAGCTATTTAATTTCTGAAGTTAATGAAACTCTGGTGTGGAGAAGAAGAAATATTTTCATAAATCTGTTTATTTATACTGTTCATTTTTTGGCATAGAAGTATTCTATACAGTCTACAATCACATCTTCGGTAGCATCTTGCTAGTGTCTTTCAGAGCCACCTCCAGGCAACCTCAGAGTGCAAATGAGTCTTATTATTGTTAGCACACATAGAAAGCAGAGGGTAAATTAAACTTTTTGGTTTTTTTATAATGTTTGTTATAGAGTGCTTGTGATGGCCAGAGAGAGAGGGAGAAAGTGAAAAACCACCCCCTGGGCGGGTGGCCAAGCCACAATACCTACTCCTTTATACTCCCCTCAGAATTTTGGGCAAGCATGCACGCGTGCCCAGTGTGGTTTTCAGGCTGCTAGGTCTGGGACTCAAGAGTCAAGTCGGTCGTGTGGGATCCAGAGCTTTAAGTGTCAAGGCACCTGCTGCCCCACACACTTTCCTGTCTTAATTTTTACATCGATATATACATCTGTCTATACATTACACTTACTTGTTTCAGTCAAGGAATTTGCGTAACAATTTTGGTCCTGGTGCATCAGGACAGGACTCGATAAATACATTCTGTATCTGAGTTATCAACCAGGTAGGCTATTCGATGAGCTTGCAATGAACACTAAATGGTCCCATAATTAAAAAGGGGACCATGGTCTCTGCCCCCATGACTGTTATATATTTTGTCAAAACAGTTGCGTCTAAAAAAAAGTTTCTAGAGTGGTTCTACGGTATTAATAGGTTGTCAGGGAAGTTGTGACATAGTTTTCCATGTTTTCCTATGCAACATATCAGATGCTTTCTGCTCTCTCCAAAAACATTACATGAAGGGATTGAGGCATGCCACGTCCATCACTGAGGATGAAATAGCTGGATCCATGTAGAGTCGATATGCCAGTATTTTCTGGAGTTAAATATATTACTAGGATGTATGTAGATATAAATATATATATATACATATATAAACTTTTCTCCATTCTCTTGGAATTTTGGGCACACACATACACACTATGTGTCTAAAGCCTCCAAGTCTGGGACTCGAATTGCAGAATGAGCCTAAGCTATCACTCTACTTTCTGGCCCTAGATCTATGTTCTGATTTTTTGTGTTTTTGTTTGTGTGTTTGTTTTTCCTATGAGGCTTTTACTATATTTTACAGCAGTTCATCCTATATTAGTAAATCTTTTACTGATACGATTTCTACTCAAGGCCCAAATGGTAGAAGTCTTCCATCAGAGATCACGGTAACACCTATCCCCAACGTGAAATAAACGTTTGTTCACTTCGACCTATAGTGTTGCTTTGTCAGTAATTACAGGTTCATGATCTTATCTGCTAATAAGATAATTCCAGACGCCATGAAGTGCCCAGGGCATGTCCTAGTAGTGGGGAGGTCTACCTGCCAGGGGAGAAGCAGAGGCCGCTCTGTACCACCAGGACATCCCATTTCACTTTTTTCCAAAAGAATCCTATGGACAACTTGGGCCACTGCGTACACAGCGTTGTAGATCAAATAGCTGGAGTCAGACATGGACAGCATGTCAGTCTTGTCTTCCATGAACTCTAAGGAAGAATTTGATGGGCAATCTCCAATGTAACCTGGGCAGTGTGATCCAGTGACTGAGCAATTGAAATTATCTCTCCAGAACCGAGTAAAGTAAAAGTCTTCTGGGTATTGGTATGGGTTAAGTGTCTTGAGGTACTGTTCAAAGCCAAGGATTTCCCTCTTCCGGTATGAAAATGAAAGGCTTCCATGGAATGAGAGAAGCATGTGTTTTGAGTTACGGAAAACAAAATCCCACCATGGTATGTGAGGATTTCCCATGATCCACACCTTCCCTGATGCTGAATTAAAATCTTTTTCCATGGCTAAGATCAAGAGACTCCCTAAATCACCATATATGATATACACATTTGCAGATGAAACTCTGATCCTCATCACGACTTTGAAATCACGAAGTATACTGTACCCTGTAGTCACAGGGAGCGTCTTTGTGAAGGCCACACAGATATCTTGTCTAAGCATCTGTGCTTTTAGATCCTGAAGGAACTGCTCCCCTTTCGTATCATCAGGTACAAAGAGTGCTACCCATGTCCAGCCAAAGTGCTGCAATAGCCCAATGATCCCATGGGTCAGAAAACTGTCCTTTGGGGCTATTTGATAGAGTGATGAAAACTGGTTTTTATTGCTTAGGATGGGATCAAAAGGACCATACGTGATCTGAAATAAGAAATGAAATAGCATGATTATGAGTTTGGGTGATTGGGGTCTGTCGTTAATTTATTTACTAGGTTGTCCAAAACGACATGATGCATTTTTGGATAGAAAAACAGGAAAATATGTCATGACCCTTTATTTATTTATTTATTTATTTATTTACATTAGTGCACTGTGTATCATCATAGCATACCAAATGAATTTTTGCATTTGAATACACTGTGTATTGGTGCAGTGCAAGATTTTTACCATATATATTAATATCAACAAGTAATTTTCCATTTCTTTGTTTCTTTCTTTTTTTTTCCCCTTTGATTCCCTCCCTCTTCATATTATCCTGCAATTCCACTCCTGAGTAGTTTCCCAAAGAATAGGAATGCACTCAGTTTGAAAAAACTTTGCACATCCATACACACGCCATACAGTGAGTGCGGCATTATTGATACTTGCTAAGATACGAAACCACCCAAATGTCCACGAGCAGATACATGGATTGAAAATGTACAGATAGTGTATATGTGGCACACAGATACTACGGAATACTACTCAGTCATTAAAACCAATGAGACCTTGACATTTGATAGAAAATGAAGGAATATGGAAAATTTACTGCTAAGCGAAGCAAGCCAGGCTATGAAGGAGAGGCACTGTATGTCCCCTTTCACTACATAACTATTGTCTGCACTCTAATGCAGACACTAAAAGACTAGATGGTATAAAGGTATGGGGATATTTCTTTTGGAAAGAGCAGAGAAGACTTTCTACCTGAGGAGATCAGAAAACACAATATTGGCCAATAAGAAAGACTGCAGTAGAGGAGACTTTGTTCTGTCAATCTGGTGATAAAAATACAGTTTCCTAGCCTCACTGCTTTTAGGAAAGGACATGGGATTGTACCGCTTCAAATCTGTCACTTCCACACGAAAGCATGAAATAAAACCTGTGAGGTCCTATGTGCTCTGCATCTCCTGCTGTGGGAACTGAAGGTGAAGTGGAGTTCATGAAGACGGTACACCACCAAGGTGGTGGCAATGTCTCCATCCTGGGCCATGTGACTTATGGAATAGCACTTTACATCCCCAGTAATCAAATAAGATATAAATTATGAGATAGGAAAAAATCTTTTATTTTTATCTATTAGTTTTCTTTTGCTGGGACAGGGGTGCGCTCATGAGATAAATAATCAGAGAGAAGACAACTTCCAACATACTCACTGAGGGAAACGGTTATTTAGCAATCCCTTCTCCTCCATTTTACTACTACAGTTTACTTCCCCAGAAGTCAAATTAGATATAATATCCGAGATAGAAATAAAACTTTAGTTTTTATTAATTTATTTTTTTGCCAAAGAAGGGCTGCACTCATGAGGAGAAATAGAGAGAGAGAGAAGGCAACTTCACAGCACCCATCACAGGGAGTGATCATGCAGCAATCCCTTCTCCTCCATTTTCCCTCCTATTAGGCTTTTGGACATACATGCACATGTACATAGTGTGTTTCTGAAGCTGCTGGGTCAGAGACTTGAACCGGGCAGTTGGTCTTGTGGGATCCAACTGCTCCAAGTACCATCCATGGGCTGGCTTGAACTAAATCTTTATTGGACTTACTCTTGATACTCTGGACTTAATTGATCACCACAACACAACCTATGTTGTCTTGAGGACTTCAAAGACCCACCCTCTCTGAGTTTTGGAAATATTGGGTCATTGGAAAAGTCCTGATGCATTTTTGTTATTCTCTGCAATAATGCATTATAACTCTTCTGATGACTCAATATAATTATTCCAGAATAAGTTTCACTGAAGCTTATAGTGCCTTCATTCTTGTCATAATGCCTCTCCTGACTAATGATTGTATTAGAGAGTTTCCCTGAAAAGACTCCCTGAGGCGGAGAGCTGTGTATGGAGTGATATGGAGGATTACAGACCAAGTAATCCCCTGCATGGGTGTGAAGAAGGCTGTACTGGGCAGAGGTGCTCATCAACCTCAAGTGTAATTGAGATGCAGCCCATTTTTAAATCTCCAGGGATGGAGTGTCCCTTTGTTTTTATTTTTAATGGAGGCCAGATGACTAGATCTTGGCATCGCTTCATCAGACTGTCTCTGTCCTGGAATGTCCCTGATGATGCCTTAGTCTATGTTGGAGTGGATTTCTGTGCTGTGAATATTTCCTTGGAGACATACAGCTGAGAGGTGTCAGTAGTCAGTGCTCCCCAAGGCAGGACTTGGATGAACTGTCCTCCTGTAAGCCTGAGAGGTGTCAGTAGTCAGTACTACACGTGGCAGGACTTGGATGAACTGTCCTCCTGTAAGACTTTGAGTTGAGGCTCAGGCCTCCACTGCACCGCCTTTTTCTTCCTCTTCCTTTTCACTCTTTATCTATTTACTTATTTACTTAAATACATTTTTTTACATTCATTCGCTATATGTCATTACATTAGAAAAACGAACTTTCTCATTTAGAATATGCTGTGTATTAGCTCAAAGATATTACTACACATATTGTCTTCGAAAGAAAATTTTCCATTTTGTGTTTCTTAAATATTTCACTTCTTCATATTTTCCCCTTGATTTATCTCTACCTCTCACCCTCCATCATTTCCCACCCTCCTTCCACACAGTCTCTGTGGTGTTTTCTTGACCCAGAAAATTCCTGGGTTCTCTTTATAACCATCCTTTTTTTTTTTTTTTTTTTTTTTGAGAGGTTTCTTCTACAGGGCGCATGTGTTCGCCAGACAGACAGAGAGAGACATAGAGACAGAAAGCGAGAAATCACCCCCCGGGGGGATGGCCACGCCGCAAT